AGCATCCTGAGCTTCAGAACCGAGCTCAGGGCATTCAGAGCATCCTGAGCTTCAGAACCGAGCTCAGAGCATCCTGAGCTTCAGAACCGAGCTCAGAGCATCCTGAGCTTCAGAACCGAGCTCAGAGCATCCTGAGCTTCAGAACCGAGCTCAGGGCATTCAGAGCATCCTGAGCTTCAGAACCGAGCTCAGAGCATTCAGAGCATCCTGAGCTTCAGAACCGAGCTCAGAGCATTCAGAGCATCCTGAGCTGCAGGACCCTGCCCAGGGCATTCAGAGCTGCAGACCCTGCCCAGAGCTGTGGCAGGCTGGAGCTGCCAGGGCTGGGTGTGCTGGCACTGGGGCTGTGCTTATGGAGATCTCAGTAATGCCACAGAGCCCCCCATGACTGCTCCCGGTGGAATTCTGCTCTCAGTGTCCCAATTAGCCTCTCTGCCCAAGCCATTATGGAATAATTAAAAGGCAGGCAACATGACATTTAATCAATAGCCAAGTCCTAGGTGCGAGCAGGAGAGATCACCACGGGGTGGGGGGTGCAGACATTAATCATTTAATCATTTCTCCCGTTAATCGTTTATCCCAGTGCTGGGCTGCCAATTCCAGGGAGAGAATGGTGCTTTGTCCTCAGGGGAGGAAAATGTGACAGTCAGTGGAGAGGCTGGCAAGGTTTATTTATTTATTGCTGCTGGTCTGGAGGGCYGGGCAGGGATGGGGTGGGAGCTGTGGGTGCAGCTGCTGCTGGGGATGGATGGAGTGTGAAATCTGCAGTCACCAGCACTGCATCACCTCCTTCCTTTCCAGGCTGAGTCTCTAAATACAGCGTTCAGGGCCTGGTTAACACGTGAATCGGGGCTGCAGTTGTGAGTCAGGCCCATAAATTACCCCACAAATGCTGTGTGGGGCAGCACCGTGTGTGCAGGGCAGGGTGTCCCTGCTGTGGGGCAGGGTGTTCTATGGGGCAGGGTCTCACAGGTCAGGGTGTCCCTCAGGTCAGGGTGTCCCTCCTGCAGGTCAGGGTGTTCTCTGGGGTTGTGTCCCTCAGGTCAGGGTGTCCCACATGTCAGGGTGTCCTGCCGGGCAGGGTCTCACAGGTCAGGGTGTCCCACATGTCAGGGTGTTCTCCGGGGCTGTGTCCCTCAGGTCAGGGTGTCCCACATGTCAGGGTGTCCTCTGGGGCTGTGTCCCTCAGGTCAGGGTGTCCCGTGCCTCACAGATGTGGGGTGATGTATTTTATCTCCTGTTAAGCACAGCAGGCCCCGGTGACAGCTCCTCTGGAGTGCAGTGGCACAGACTGAGCTGATCTATTCCAGCATCCTCTGGAGTTCAGACCATCCTGTGCCT